GACTGTGCCATCTAATACCAGGTACAAATGTATTATGTAGTAAAGTTAGCTTTCTTGTTTTATGCTGCAAGGCTTTAGAGACTGTGTTGCCTATTGTTAAGTTTGTTCTTTAAATATTTAATAAACCTTATCTGTTTTACCAAAGTCTGATTTATTGTGTGCATATAGCCTTGAGGACCCACTGCTTGTCCAAGGGGTAGTGTTCCGGGAGGCGGGTGACCCTGGCTTGGGCCCTTAAGAAGGCCCTATGATGAGATATTGTTAGAGTCAGTTGTGTGCCAGAGAATCAGAGAAAGCAAAAGTGAAAACAACTGGCACTGTTGCTGACCATGGCTATGCAAAGTGAAGACCTAGAATTTACTAGCTTCAACCAACATCTGGGGCCTCATACCCCTTCGTATATTGTACCACTTCCAAATTGGGTGTGTGTGTGCATAACTGAATGTTCCACCATGCCAAATCTCCCAGCGCATGGAAAGGTTCATGTTAGGGAGAAAAGATCCAGCTCACTCTTTTCTCTGACATGCTAATTTTGCTGTGTAGAGAGAACTTGTTTTTACAAGGAGGGAACATTCAGAATGTGATTTTCCCACCTGGATTCAGAAATGGCACCATACAGAACAGGCTGTGCTAGATCATCTCTGAATACCAGCATGTTCAGGGTATTGACACTGTAGTCTAAAATTACTTTGCATAGTTGTAGTACTTTCCCCCACACCTTGACATTTAAGGCAAAGGAAGCACATTTGCCTCAATAAAGGTTTGTTGAAGCGGAACTGTTTCGGAGCTGTGTGAACTCTCATACCTTCATTTAGGTTGCTAATCATATTGCTCTTTTTCAATTTAAAGTTTCTATGGTTACAACAACTTGGCTGATGTGGGTTGTCCTGTTTTTTCTCTCCAATCCATACAAAACAGCTGGAAAATATTTTATAATTTGTATATGGTACGGAAAAAATAACTTGGTAATTAAAATGCTCTATTGATGTTTTCTTTCTTGAGCTAAGCCTTGAGTAGGAGGACTGATTAGCAGTGCCAGGAATCTATAATTACAACTGGAACTGTTATTTTTAGAAAGATAGTTTTTCAACATGGTTGGTTTCCCTGGGAAGGCTCTTCTCTTGTTTTCATCTGACTCATCAATGAATCCAGGTCTGTTGGCTATGACAGAACCTTGTTACAATAGAGGCTCAAGAAGAATTTGCCAGCTGCTCCTTTCCTTGTTTTTTAAAAATAAATTTTGTGTATAACTCTCAGTCCTGTTGTAAGCAATGCTCCCTCTTAACTGTGGAGTCTTGTGAGCAAAAATTCTACTTTGTGAGCTACTGGCATTAAAGCTGTGAAAGAGTGATTTGGCTACTGCATAAATTAGTTTGCTCTGGAGCCATCCTTCCTGAGCTAAGACAAAAATGTGTGAGCTGGAGGCTAAAAGACTGTGAGCTAGCTCACACTAACGCAGCTTATAGGGAACACTGGTTGTAAGTCTCATGAATGGTTTGAATCATAGCATTTGATGCACACTCCTCTGGGAAAAACTCCTTCTGGGAAAAACCACAGGGGATGTCATATTAGTCTAGGAATCATCAGAAACTTTTAAGCAAAACCATAGAGTTCTTTGTGATTCCTAGAGCTATGTGACATCACTTCTACATTTTCCTGGAAGTGAAGTCACATCCCATGCAATATCAGTTTTTTAAAAAAAAATTTTTTTACTCCCACTACTACTCAGAGCAGTGGCAGGCAACAAGGGTTACCTGTGGGAGGCCTCCTGCTATGGCGACAACAGAAGCGTGATTGGCATGCAGTTTTGACAACTCCCTATATTCAAAAGTAGGTGCATCAAAGAAATGAGTGATAAAGAAGAGCCAATTCACAATTACAGAGGAAGGCAAAAAAGGAAAGGGCACTAGGCAATCAGACCACAAGGCAATTCCTTTCCAACACACTGTAAACAGGAATAAAAGAGGCCAAGACTTTCCAAGACCGGGTCTGGGGAGTGTAAAGCCACATTACACAATATGTTGCTGTTTCATGCTTGAAGTTCTTTGAATCAGAGAGCAAGGTTATTGCATTGCAAAAGTTTGAGGGGCTGATCAAATAGTTTTAAAAAGTGGCACTGGATTGCATCCCACCAGTGGTGAATTCATCCAATATAGTGGTGAATTCATCCAATATGAGTCGTCCTCCAGCTCTGTAGATTCTTCCACTGGCAGAAAAGTCTCCTGTATCAAAGGAAGGCTTCTTGTGCTGGAGGAACATGCCACCACTTGCTATTTATTTCTTTACTTCACGTATACCCTGCCTTTCTCCCCAATGGGGATCCAGTGCAGTTTACATCATTTTCTTTTCCTTCAATTTATCCTAAGCAGAGTGTGAGGATAAATCTATTTTAATCAGCTTTAAATGTTTTAATAAACTTAATAAATCTTTCCTTCATCATTACTTGGCTCAGAAGTTGGCCTGTACTTTGAGTCAGACAACCTGACCATGTTCAAGGCCAGATTACTGTAACATGTTCAACATGGTTCTACCCTTGATGACAGTTTGGAAGCTTCAATTAATCCAAAATAGGTTGCAAATTTATTATTTGGAGTCAGTCAGATTCAGATATCACACTGTGTTGCAAGCACTTCATACATTTACTTTATACCATATGGGTGATGGAGAAAAATAGTAAAGTGCTGGTTAGAGATTCCATCTTGCAAGCTGGATGTTTTGTGATGATGACAATGGTGGTTTGCATCCAAATTAGACTGTTTTGATTGTTCGTCATGTTTTGATTCTTTACCATGGGATGGTCTGAGCAAATATTGTTTATTTTAATTAAAAATATTTGTTTGCCAATAGTTTTACGTCTCATCTTTTTACCATTGGATTTATAGAGTATGTATAAGCATGCTGTACAATTTTATATGTAACATATACAATATTTATACATACAATGTACATTGTTTATATGTATAATATTGATGTAATAGATTGTGCTGATATATTGATACACAAATAACATGGAATACATGTATATTTTGGGGAGGGGAAACAGTGTAAGGAAACAAAAAATGACATCAAAATAAAGAATCACAGTTTCTCACCAGAGAGAAGTAAAAACTAAACAAGGGTTTTCAGGTTGAAATAGCAAGCAGAAGAAATATGAAATCATTCCTATCTGTGGGCAGATAAATAAACTACAGCCATCCAGAAGCATGTGAGACTGTGGTCCTTTGCCTTGCCTGTAGAATAGATATTTATCAAAAGTTTCCTCTCCCCAAGAAATAAGGACCTTTGCCCCTACTCCCTATAAGCACACTCACCACTTCTATCCATAAGTGCTTCAAGGTTGTTCAGTTACTGTAGAATACAGCAAGTACAATAATCAGCACTGAAATTAGGCCCATAAGTTGAATCATGCATTCCTAAAATTTCTCCTGCTGAGGAAAGAATCACCCTTGTAAAATGATGGTTGGTGGATGGAAATACTTATCGCTTCAGTGCAAGAGAATGCAGTTGCCCATGCTGAAATGTCAGATGTTAACCTGAAACCCTGGAGGCAGTCTTAAACTTTGGGATTCCTTTGCTATGGAGACATAGTCCATTGCACAATTATGTCCCAGAGTGAGCAGTGGCGAAGTGAATGCAGTGAGATACACTGTAATTTTCCAGTTCTAGAAATCCTCAGAATGAATTCCTGGAAAAACATGAATACTCATTTGTTGCAAGAAATAATATATATATCAGATACACAGGAAACATATAGCCCACCCTTCAGAATAACAATTATCAAAGCAAAGAGCAAAAATAAAAGCAAGATACAATTTCAAACATTGATAAAATTGTATAGAAGAGATGATTAGTTGAAAAACAAATGGCAAATTACCATAAAGGGCTTGTCTAAATAAACAAGTCTTTAAAGCCTTCTTAAAAGAGCCAAGATCCTGAAAATGGAGGCATCTTGTTCTGTAATACCGGGGCCACAACAGAGAAAGCTTGGTGGTGGAAGGCAGAACTTAAAGAATGTTATGGCCAAGCCAGATGAGATGTTTATGATATTCCAAACCTGTAGGTTGAAAACCTTTATTTTAGCAGAAGAAGAGAAGAGATTGGATTTATACCCCGCCTTTCACTACCCAAAGGAGTCTCAGAGAGGCTTACAATCTCCATTGCCTTCCCCTCCCCACAACAGACACCCTGTGAGGTAGGTAGAGTTGAGAGAGTTCTGACAGAAACTGCTCTTTTTCAAGAACAGCTCTTATCAGAACTATGGCTTGCCCAAGGTCATCCAGCAGGTGCAAGTGGAGGTGTGGGGAATCAAACCCGGTTCTCCCAGATTAGAGTCCACGCACTTGACCAGTACACCAAACTGGCTCTAGTAGAACTTGTGCAAGAGAATGTCCTGGTAGATAATGGTGTGCTCCATTTTCTTCCTGTCTAAAGTGTGTGTGTGTTTTTGCAAAGTAACAAAGTCAGGGTCACACTAGCAGCAGAAAAGAAAAATAAGGAATAGAAAGAATAAATAGTTTTTCTACACCTCGTTTTTCTTTTCTGCTGCTTTAGCAAAGTAGCACCTGCTTCCTTCCCAGTGGATGGTTTGGGAATGAGGATTGCCTCTGGGCCATAATAAAGACTGAACTGAACTGAATAAGGGAGGCATAATAAATATTAGATAATGCTATTTATCATTTTGATAAACTCTTGTTAAGATGTTGGCAATGAGGAAGGCACAATAATTAGTATGATGCCTTTATTACAAAAAAAAAAAGGATAATTTCCAGGAAAATTACAAATGTGAATGCTGCATCCAAAACTAGGAGATATGACACATAAGTTCCTTTTTATTTCTTAACAGGATTCATTAATGCACAAAATCATAATTATGACTGTAAAACAGATTTGACTTAACAGATATTTTCTTTCAGTTAGGTAACTTTTACCTCAAAGTTTCAAAGCAATCTAAAACTGAAAAAATTTGCTTCCTGGTTCACTTTTATTTTGTTTTCTTTCAGTGACTGTCCTGGCTATTTTCCATGAACTCCATGTTGACACAGATCTCTACACACTCCTTTTTGGCGAGAGTGTCCTAAATGATGCTGTGGCTATAGTTCTCACATAGTAAGTACCAGCACTTTTATAATGAAAGATGTGATTGTTTTTCAGTGAGTAGGATCTCCCTTTTAAAAATCTAATTAGCACCCCCCGTGATTCTGTACTGAAGATGGGAAGAGGGTTTCCCTTTCTTCCAATACAATTTTAGGGAAAACAAAAAAGGAGGAAAGAGTTAAACATACTCTTTCCTAGCACTTCTTCAGAGCAGACTCTAGTGGGAAACCCTAATTACAGATCCCCCCACTGAGTTATAGTTTCTCTGTACAGGTACAAGCGGAGAACATTGTATGTTTAAGTTTTTTATTTTGATCTGAAGTCCAGAAACTTACATATAAATTTAAACCTGTTAAAGACAAGTAACTCCATCCCCATACTTAGATACACATAGAGCTCTTTCAAAAGTGACATTTTCAGTTGACTACAAAGTAACACAAATCGGCATAGTCATGTGTTTTTGTTTGTTTGTTTTTGAGCACAGGATAGTGTCTCCTTAATATAATAAATGCTCATGTTGGTTGCTGCCTATTGGGCCAAGTTGTAGACACTTTTGCTTAGAAGGCACACAAGACATGCTCCTGGGGGAAGGTGGGACTTGTAGAGCAATTTTCCTAAGATAGATACCTGACTGAGGTCTCAGTTATACCTTTGCTTTGCTAATGCAGCTTCCCCAGTGTTATAGAACTAATAATGAAGCTGACTCTTGGAGGATCCATGTGTTCATCAGAATCCCACAGGATGTGATTTGGTCCGACAGAATGGATGATTCAGATGGTTGTATATTAGCTTAATAACATCATGAGAATTATACGGATAGTTATTAATGAGGCTATAGCTCTAAATTATATAGATTCAGCTACTGCGCAATATTTAGTTAACCAATATTCTAGAGTGCCCATTTTCTATGCCTTACCTAAAGTGCATAAGCCGGGCTTTCCGCCTCCCGGTCACCCTATCGTTTCTGCTTCTAACTCTATCTTAGAGTCTTTGGCAAAATATATTGATTCTTTCCTACAACCCTTTATACCACAGATTCCCACCTATATTAAAGACACCAAAGATTTTATTAACAAGGTGGAAGGAATGTGGATTCCAGAAAATGCAGTATTGGTAATGATAGACATTTCTGCGTTATATACTAATATTCCCCATGCAGAGGCAATCCTACCCTGAGTGATAACTGATCAATATGGACTCTGATGTGGACCATAGAGCCATTGTTTGTTTGTTTGTTTGATTGATTGATTGATTGATTGATTGATTGATTTATACCCCGCCCTCCCCGCCAGGCAGGCTCAGGACAGTTTACGTACAAATTAAGATAGATAAAACAAGAGAATTTTAAAACCAGTTCATAAAGTGCTAGTATCAGTATCAGTACTATATAACGATGGCGGGACATAGTGGCAAATCGATCATACTGGAATATAGTCAGCATTGATGTCAAAGCCATTGCTTCAATAATCCAAGTATGCCAGCAGGGCACAGGCTGTCAATAATGGTTTCAGAAGACAGGGCCTTGGCCAGTATTCAGTTTTTAGGCGGCTCCTTGGTTGAAAGCCTGGTGGAATAGCTCCGTCTTGCAGGCCCTGCAGAACTGTAAAAGGTCCCACAGGGCCCTAATATCTTCTGGGAGCTGGTTCCACCAGCACAGAGCCACCACCGAAAAGGCCCTGGCCCTAGTCATGGCCAGCCTGGCATCTTTAGGGCCAAGGAGGACTATACGATTTTGAGACCCTGAACGCAGTGCTCTCTGGGAAACATTTGGGGAAAGGCAGCCCCTCAGGTATGCAGGCCCCTGACCATAAAGGGCTTTTAAGGTAAGAACCAAAAACTTGAAGCGAATTTGGTATGCTATAGGGAGCCAGTGCAGTGCTTTCAATGCAGGCTGGATGTGCTCCTGCATGGGGAGACCCAACAGAAGCCTGGCTACAGCATTCTGTAGCTTCCGAATTTGGGAAAAGGGCAGCCCCATGTAGAGAGCATTACAATAGTCTAATCTCAAGGTGACCATCGCATGGATCACTGTTGCCAAGTGGCTGCATTCAAGGAAGGGAACCAACTGCCTACTCAGCCAAAGGGGATAAAAGGCTGACTTAGCAGTGGCTGCTACCTGGGCCTCCATTGTCAAGGAGGCATCCAAGAGTACTCCCAAATTCCTAACCTCTGGTGCTGGCACCAATGGAGCCTCGTTGGTCAGGAGTGGGATCCCTAACCCTGGACCACCTCGACTCAGGCACAGGACCTCCATTTTCATCAGATTCAATTTCAGTCAGCTCAGACTAAGCCATCCAGCCATGGCTTGTGGCACCAAGTCCAGATCTTCTGGTCTAGAATCAGACTGGCTGCCCAACAACAGATACAGCTAGATAGATAGACTGATTGAGCTAGATTGATAGATTGTTCCACTGTTGTGGGGAAAAGGTAAATAGAGCCAATGCAGCAAGCAGCAAGGGCAGAGTTTGTGAAAACAGTATAAAAGAGATAAGCACGGGGCCAAGGTTCAGGGAACATTTGCCCCCTGAACTCTCTTATACACCCAAACTGTCACCATTGAACATTCAGTTCAGCCCTGAATGCCCATCTAGCAGGAAATTACTAAACTTAATTTAAAATTAATCTTTCCTCACTAATTTTGAAACTGAGCGAAATTTCAGAACTGGAGCTATACTCTTTATTGGTTTGGTAAAACTACAGCTACAAAAACAATTCTCCTTCTGAACCATAATTATTTTAGATACTTCCAGTATTCACAATAGATCAACAACTCCCAAGAAACATATCAAGCTTTTTAATTTTGTCAGATAATAAAACAATATTAATAAAAAATGAAGAACAGAATAAAATAGGCCAATGAAGCATATTAAAATTACCAGCTATTACATGTTGTGAAAAAGTTTGATTTATACTGGAAATGAGAAATTTTGTGAAAGATGGAAGTTCAACAACTGTATTTTCATTTCTACCCAATGTGGAAAAATAAATTAACTTTTCAATCTATGTACATTTGGGGGAAGATTTCAGATTTCTCATCCTTCTTCTTTTGACTGCCAAATTCCATTTCAATCAAGACCGTGTTTGGGTTGTTGTTTTTTCTCTTCTTTGCCATCTTCTGTATCCTCATACTGAATTTTTCCCGTAAAATGTATATATTATTCAGTGTTAATTGTGTGTCAGTAAATGAGTACTATATGCTATATGTATAAATGACAGACATTGTACATAGAAATACTGTATAAATTGCATATATAAACTGTACAACATGCATAGACAATATAAAAGAGTTTGAATTTGTATACAATACAAATCCAACAGTGAAAAGCAGAGAACTGTAGCAAAAATATAAATTAATATAAAAAGAAATGGAACAGAGAACATTTGTTCACTTTTAATGTTGACTACCATGAAAAATCAGAGAAGATTTGAACATTTAGTACCATCTGCCTCTCTGCTAGTTGATTTTATAGAACATCCCGAGTTTAAAAAAAGATTGGGTTTTCAACTTCACTGCTTAGACTGAGAGATCTTGAATTGTATAGAGTGCACTATTACCTGTTGAAAATTTTGTTAGTCATAACCACAGGTAACCTTAGTTTACATGTTTGCTTCCTGGTTTGAACAGTGCTTTCCATCTATGATATGAAAAAGGAGTTGTTTCATCATGATGCAGGTTGTTAGGTGTGCATGTCTGAGGTATAAAGTATTGTGAGAAAATAACATGGGTCATTCTGTGAATGTCCCAAGGGGATGATTGTTTTTATGCTGATCTTATGGAATTTGTTTGTGCCAGGACACAGGAGGTGACATTTGAAATGCAGACAAGGTGACATCTAAGTCCAATGAAAGTGTAGACAATAATATTTGAACTATAATTCTGCAAGCGCTGGAGAGTTTGTGAGGATAAAGGGACTCTGATCCGTTTGTGATGGTCAGTTCCAAAAGTTCATTCCTTTTTGGGAGGAAGTACTTGCTGCTGTAGCTGACATTATTGAACATAACATTATTTTGGTCTCCAGCATAGATTTATTGAAGATTTTCCTCAAGGACTGTGATTCTATATTTCTTAAAGCTTTGATCTTTCATCCTCAGATGCAGAACTCAAATTATTGGTTGAGAGGCAGTGAGCTCTTAATAAAATCCAGAAACCCAACCTTCTGACTTGTTCAGTTTTAGGCCATTCCACAGGTGGTCATAAGCCATACCCTCAGCTATGTTCATACAAATTATTCAGCTACAGTACATTCCATTATGGGGGGAAAGTAGGAAGACATTTAATGAAACCAATTTTTTATATAAAGAAAGGGAAAGGTTATCAACTAAGATTTAAGACAGGTAGCACAGGATGGCAGTTGTGCACAACGGATTACTCCTTTCACAAAACAAATTCCCCTTGACCAGTGAAATAAATATATGTTTTCATTCCTCATTCTACACATTGAAGCTGCATTCGTTCCACAGACAAAAAGTGTATAGTTAAATTGTGGAATTTCTTCACAAAGTGTATAGTTAAATTGTGGAACTTGCTGCCACAAGATGTGTGGTGATTCCTTTGGAAGGCTTTAAAAGGGAAGTGGAGAAATTAATGGAGGATGGGACTCTCAATGGCTACTAGTCACAATGGCTACTGGTCCTGGTGGATATCTACTCTTTCCAGTACCAGAGGTAGCATGCCTCTTTATATCAGTTGCTCGGGAGCATAGGTGGAAGGGTGCTGTTATATTCATCCTGCTTATGGGCTTCCAGTTTGGTGTAGTGGTTAAGAGCAGTGGACTGTAATCTAGAGAACCGAGTTTGATTCCCCACTCCTCCACATGCAGCCAGCTGGGTAACCTTGGGTCAGTTACAAGTAATTTCAGAGCTGTTCTCTCAAGAGCAGTTCTCTCAGAGCTCTCTCAGCCCCACTTACCTCACAGGGTTTCTGTTATGTGGAGAGGAAGGGAAGGAGATTGTAAGCCACTCTGAGACTCTGAGTGAAGGGTGGGGTATAAATCCAATTCTTCCTCTTCTTC